CAAGGAAAACCCTACCTGCACCTCCCTCTCAAGACCCTAAGACCATCCCTATCCTCTGGTTTCTCCAACTTAGTACCTCCCCCAGCTCATCTTTATCTGTGCCTACATCCACATCTGCCTTGACCTGACCTGCTTGCCTTGCCCCAGGACTGTTCAGCCCCTGGACCAGGCAGAAGAGGAAGGAGCTGACCTCTGGTGGTAGTGATGGGGTTAATTGCTGGAGGGTATGGAAATTATAATGGGGAGAACCTGGATTTGGGAGTTAGGAGACCCAGGCTCTTCCCCCTCCGCCCCTCTGTAGGCCTCATTTTCCCATCTGCCCAGGCATAACTGGTGGGTACTGCCTGTCCCTGAGCTGGCACCAAATTTGTCCTCTGGAAGGGAGGGGGAGGGGTTGACCGGGTCATGCCCTCTAGCAAGTGAGTGGGCATAGGAGCTGCTTTCCTGCCACCCCCACAGCCGGATCTCCTAGCTTGGCCTATGCAGCCCCCACCTTCCTGCCAGTCTGGGGAACAGGTGCTTGGATGGGACATGGGTCTGCAAAGTGGATCCCAACACTTCTCAGCTGGTTTCAGGAACAACAGTGGGCAGTTAATTTGTGAAGGATCAAGAGAAGTCTCCCAGGCTTGAACAACCTCCCAACACTCCCCAAAGAGAATAGGGGGCTGGTGCTTAGCAACCACCCACTGACTTATAAGATCTGAGCACATGACATGCACAGAGTAGAGGTGGGAGGCTGGGATGGGGCAGGACTGTCTAAAGAGTGGGAATGGGAGGGCCAAAAGGGAAACTACTGCAGACCTCCCAGGAGACACAGGACCCCCAGACTGGGAGCAAAACAGAAAGAAACTGGGCTGAAAGCTCTGACAAGGAGGGAAGGTCAAACCCTCAAAGGTGTAGACAGACAGAGGTCTAGAGAGAAATATGTAGATCTAAAAATAGAGAAATGGGAACCCAGGGGAAAAGACACCTAGCCATTCAGTGGCTTGGAACACACATACTGAAACCCAGAGACAGTCAGAGCCCAGGAGGAGGAGCAATGCCTGTCAATAAGGGGAAGCCGGGCAGGAAGCTGAGAGCTAGGAGGAAGACCATGCCAGGAATGGAGCTGAGACATCTGGCCCCTCCAGGGCTGGGACTACAGGCTGGCAGGGGCGGGGGAGGATGTTCTCCTGGGGAGCAGGCGGGAATAGTCAAAGGGAGGTGGCAATGGCAGCTGGCTGGCGATGCCATGAGCAGAATGTGGAGAATGCCGACGGCCTGCCCCAGCATGTTCCCCAGCGGAAGCAAATGCCTGGCAGGGGGCAGGAGCAGGCAGGCTGCCCTGGACGACCCCCTCACACCAGCTGAAGGGTCAGGCCCTGGCACCTGTGGGCAAAAGGGGCCAAGACTGTGGCCTCACTATGCCACTAGACATGGTCAGCCCTATGTAGGCCCCAGAAGGAGTAAACCCCAAGGTGCCTGCCTCCCAAGGGTGTAGGGAAGCCTCTGGGAGAATGAAAGAGCCAGCTGGCTGGAACCCTGAGAGCAGCCTGGATACTTCAGTATGGGTGTTATTAGGGAGGCACTGTTCAGAACTGCCAGAAGAGGCACTGGACAATTTCTGATGACCAGGTAGCCTCCAGAAAACGGCCTCCCTTTCCTGAACCTCCTGGACAACAGGACTAACAACCCTTACTTCACAGCATTAGATAGGTATGATGAAATGGCCCCAACCCTGGGGCTGAGCACATGGTATATGCTCAATCAAGTGTTACTATTTTCTTTTTTTTTTTTGGTACCAGGGATCGAACTTGGGACCTTGTGCTTGTGAGGCAGGCAGCAGAACCACTGAGCTAAATCCCCAGCCCAATTTTCTTCATTATTATTGAGAATACGTAAGAGCCTGGGATGTTAAACTAGATATGCTGGGTTCAAATACTGGCTCTCTTTTCTTAGCTGGGTAACTTTGGGCAAGTCACTTAGCCTCTCTGGGCTGTAGTTTCCTCCTCTGTCCCTGGTAAATGATAATCATAAGGGTCTCCTGAGGCATTTTGAAGATTCAGTGAGTAAATGCTCAGGAGGGCTCATGAAAAATGTGCCAGGCACAAGCATTACCAGTGCTTATAAGTCATTACTAACTCTTGGTAGTGAGAGTCTAGCAATTTGGAGATTGTGAGACCAGTTTCAAACCCCAGTCCTACCCCTTCCAGGCCGGGTGATCTCCATCGGAACTCTCCTTTGTCAGGGGCCCACTTTTCCTCATCTGGAAAATGGCACCAAAAGCCCTTGCTGGGCCTGCCCAGGTAGACCTCAACATCACCCGTGGCAGACCCAACCCTCCCCATGCAATAAGCATGACCTGAGGCGATGCTACAGGAGCAGTGTCAGGGCTCTGGGGATATGAACGGTGGGGGTGAAGAGGTGGTAAGAGACCTTCCGCTTCTCTGCAGAGAAGACAGAAATCCCTGCCGTTGCCCACCTGTCTGAAATTTTGCTTCAATCACCTACAATAACAAATGCAAAAGGTGTTGAGGGAGGAGTGAAACACACGACTGAAAATCTCAGTATATGAGCATGAGTGGCAGGCATAGGCCCTGTTCCCTGTGTGCTGACTCTGAAAACAGGCCTGGGCTAGAATTCTGGGAAGGCAGGTCCTGGCTCCTTACTAAATTGGCCCCTTCCCCAAGCCAAGCCACAGCAGCTCCTACCCACATCCACACCCCAGACTGCTTCCTCAATGGTCGCCCTGCCTCTGGCCTCAGGTCCTCCATGATGTACTGTGGTAACCTTCTATGGCTCTCTAGTGCCCTCAGGATAAAGTTCACAAGTCTAACGGCCCTTTATGATGTGACCCTGGCTCACCAATCCAACCGTACATCCCAACACTCACCTACCTTCCAGAGCCCTTCACACTGCAGATTCAATGTTCTGTAATTATATGCTTCTGCCTTCAGCCCTTTGCACAAACTCTTTCCTCTCCTGAAATTCCTTCCTGCCTGCCTTACCACACTTACATCTGTATGCCCTTCAGTTCACAGGTCTCTGGCCCCTGACCCAAGAAGCCTTCTCTGGCTTTTCAGACTGCCATCAGCATCTTCTCTGGGCTCCCACAGTTCCTGGACCTCCCCTACATATCCCACCCCTGGCCACTCTAGACTGTCGCTGTCTGGGTATTGGTCTTTCTACTCCAAGGGCTGTGAGCCATGTGAGGGCAGGGCTATGTGCTCAGCACCACCTAGCATCCAGTCAGGCACAGAGGGGGCCTTACCCCAACAGTGGACAGATAAATAAATAAAAAGTACTGCCGGGTATAGTGGCACACGCCTGTAATCCTAGCACTCAAAAGGCTGATGCAGGAGGAGTACTGCACGTTCAAGGCCAGCCTTGGCTATGGACTGAGTTGAAGGCCAGCCTGAACTGCACAACAAGAGACTCTCAAAAAAATAAAAAAGACTAATCCCAGCAGCACTCTGGGAGGCTGAGGCAGGAGAATCACTAAGTTTGAGCCCAGCCTGGGCAACTCAGAGACTTAAGAGAAACCCTGTCTCAAAATTTAAATGTTTTAAACGACTGGGATGAGCTAGGCATGGTGGTGCATGCCTGTAAACACAGCACTTGGGAGGCTGAGGCAGAAGGATCGCCAGGAGTTCAAGGTCAGCCTGAGCTATATATAGCAAGACCCTGTCTCAAAAAGGGGAGGGGCCTGAGATGTAGCTCAATGTAAAGACCCTGGGTTCAATCCTCAGTATAAAAAAAAAGGGGGGGGGGGTTGCTAGTAAAGGGACTGATAATACCTGTCATTCTCCCTTTGAGTTGGAGTCAGGCCAGCAGGAGAGGACAATAGAAGCAAAGGTAAAGCTGGAGCTCTGGCTCTCCAGTGCTATCTCTGAACTGCCACCCTCCCAAGCCCAGCCTCGGCCCTCCAGCCACACAGGCTTCCACCCCTACTTTCCTAGGCTGTATTCCTTCCACCTCAGAGCTTTCCCATAGGCTCTTCCACCCCCAACCTGTGGTGGCTGGTTCCAACACATCCTTTAACTCTTAGCTTGAGGATTAAACCCGAGGACCTGAGGACTGCCACACTGAATTCACACCCAGAAAAGTGCCCAGCACACCTGCACTCCCTCCATGGCACTGACTACACTGGTGGGGTTTACTAGAGTCCAGTCCTGGTCCTGCCACCTCCTGGGAAAGGACCTTTTATAGTCTCAGTTGTCTCTTTTGTAACCCAGCACCAGAGTGCTGTGGTCATGAGCCAGCCTGTCTCAGTTTGAAGGCTGGCTCCAGGGCTTAGTAGCCACATGACCCTGGGCAAGTCACTAACTTGGCCTCAGCTTCTTCTAAATAAGTATAATCACAGCACCCACCTGTGAGGATCGCCGTGAAGACAAAATGAGCTGACATTTGAAAAGGGTTTAGAACAGAGCATTTGTGGTGAGTGCTGTGTTATGGGGTGGGAGTGAAAATATAGCGAGATAACCCAGTACAGAGCTTATCACAGCAGTGTCCCTGTTCAGTCCCCCAAGACAGGGGAGCTGTCACCAGGATTATCACTCCCACAGAGGCCTGACTTGGAGTGCACCTGGTAGAGGTTTGCTAACTGATGGACCCTCAAGAATGCATTCCCCGGGCTGGGGATTTAGCTCAGTGGTTTCGCCACCTGCTGCGCAAGCGCAAGGACCCGAGTTCGATCCCCAGTATTAAAAAAAAAAAGAATGCATTCCCCAATAGGCTGCTTCTGGAAATGCCACATAGACCCTTAAAAGCCTCATCTCGGGCTGGGGATTTAGCTCAGTGGTTCCGCCGCCTGCCTTGCAAGTCCACGGTCCCGAGTTTGATACCTGGTACCAAAATAAATAAATAAGTAAATAAATGAATGCCTAGTCCCTTGCCTGACGTATAAATTTCCAATGCAACATCTGTACAGAGAGGAGGCCTGCCTCCCTGTGGAAGCCCCAACTGGAAAGGGGCCCTATTCAAAGTGAGTCCTTCTCTAGCCCACCCACCAGTTCTCTTACCTGTTCCAGGCCGACCCATGATGACTTCCTTCTTGGGAGCAGGATGGCTGGTATACGTATTGGGCACCAGGACAGGCAACAGGGCAGCAGGTGAGGGATGGAAGGCCACGGGCTGGAAGGGTGAAGAAGCCAGGCCAAAGGTGGGCATCGGCTGGGCCACTGCAGTTGGCGCAGCTGGAGGCACAGTGATGGGCACAGGGGCCGGCAGAGGTGGGGGTAGGCCAGGCTTCCCACTGGCCACCCCAGAGGGCAGTGGGGTTTCACGGCAGGCCCGCCCAGGTCCCCCAGCCCGTGCCTCACCGGCAGCGCCCACCTCTCCAGGAAATTTGGAGGGCAGTGGCACATCAGGGTTGCGGACAATAACAGGTGAGTCCCGCTGCACTGCAGGCACCCTGCGCACAGAAGGCCCTGGATCCGAGGTCAGGCCAGCAGGTGGGGGCAACAGAAGCAAAGGTGAAGGCTGACGGGAGCGAGAAAAGGGCACAGCAGGTGACACGGCCCGGAAGCCAGCCGGTGTGGAGGGCGTAGGTGTGTGGGACACAGCGTCCACACCAGAGTCTAAGCTGTCGCTCTTAGGGAAGTCTGGGGCAGCTCCTCCACCCACTGTGCCAGGGGCTCCCAATGCCCCTGGGTGGGGCAGCAGTTCTGTCTTCCGCCGCCCAGGGCTGATGGGAACAGTAAAGGTTAGGTTGGTCTGGAAGGTGGGTAGGATGCCGGAGGAATGCCGCTCTCGGGGGGCAGGTGGTGGTGGGTGGGGTCCCATATCTGGTGGCGTCAGAACACCTGCCTTAGGGGTGCTGGCGCTTAGGTGGCGACTGCGAACGGCAGTGCGCTGGATGACTGGAGAGGCATTGATGGGGCTGAAGTTGGCTGGGCGGAAGCCGAAGAGTGGCGAGGGTGAGGGTGACGGGGCTGGTGAAAAGGGCGACTGTGTAGAGACGGGTGAGAAGGAAGGGGTGCCGGAGCGTGAGCTGCCCAGTGACACCAGCATCACAGCTGCCTCACACTCATCAAACTCAAAGCGTGACAGGTCAGCAGGGGCCACCAGGCGTGGGCGTGAGTCTCCCCGAACTGCCACACTGCTGGCCTCGCTGTCCCTCGACGTCTCGTCACCCCAGTCAAACTCGGTACTACCTTCACGGGCTGCCACACCAGCTGGCCGCCCAGCCCCACCTGGCCCACTGTCGGCCAGGCCCTCCATCTCCTTGGTTCGCATGGACAGGTGGCGCGAGCAGTAGCCCCTTCGCTGTGACTCCTTCATGCAGCCATCTCGTGAGCACAGTCGTCGCCACTGCTTGCCATTGAACTTCTTTCGGATTCCGTTGGGCGTGCAGACCACATCACCCTTCTTGTACTTCTGCTGGGCAGCTGTCAATGGCGTGCGAGCCCGGGCAGCAGGTGCAGCTCCCTTTTCCAATGAAGCCACGCTGCTGCTCCGGCTGCCACCCTGGCTCCCCTCTTGGCAGGGTGAGGGCTGCTCACCTGGGCGGCCAGGGCCAGCAAAGGCTGGGGACTTGGGGGCTGGTGACAGGAGCTGAGGTGGGGGCAGTGGAAGTAGGGCTGGGGTGCCCAAGGCTGATGGGTGCTTCTCTTCACCCTCCTCACAGTGAGCCCCCAGATTGCCACCAAAGCTGATTTTGGAGACCTCAGCATCCTCAGGCTGCTTGGGATCCAGGGCAGCAGGGCAGGGCGGGAGGACAGCTCCAGGTTCAGCTTGTTCTTCCTCAGGGACTATGGGGGGCTTCCTCAGCAGGGCCTCAGGTTCCCAGGGAGGCCGCAGAAGGCGTAAGCTGGAGCGGGCCACCCACACAGCCTCCTCGGGCTCACGATGCAGTGGCTGTGGGGGCTGTGGTAGGGTGCTCGGTGGGCCCAGTTGGGAGCTGGAGCCAGGGCTGAGACGGACCTTATAGGCAGCTGGCTTAGTGGCCACCTCTACTACCACACCTTCACGGTAGGCAGCAATGCCAGGCTCCACACAGGTACAGACAGCGGTGCCCACCACCAGGGCACCTGGTGGTGGTGTGGCATCTAAAACCACATCTATGCCACCACCTGGCACCCCCTCATAGAAAGTCAGAGACCGGTCACCAGGGAACTGCACCCCCAGGTCCTGGCTTCGGCGCACCTGGCGCACCACAGCAGGCAAGAAGAGACCATCACTACGCCGAGCCAGCACCCGCTGGGACCGTAGCTGCCGCAGGTCATAGCCACCACTGGTGCCACCGGGGGGCCAGGGGCCTGGACCACAAGCCTCAGCTGGCTCATCCTCCAGGTCAGCTGAGTGCTCACTAGCTGTGTCAGTGGAGGAGGAACGAGTGGAAGTGGGTGGCCGAGGAGGCACCCCCAGTGTGCTGGCCTCCTCAGGGATCTGCTCTCGCTCTTCAGGGGCCCCAGCCGCCCCACCACTGCCACCCCCATGCTCCTCCACGTACTTCTTCTTGGGCGCTCTAGACTTGAATGTGGCTGTCTTACGGCTGAGTGAGGGCTCCCAGCGGCCTGCCTCCCCATCCCCCTTGGTGTCCTCAGCTGGGCCTGGAGCCAGGTCAGGAGGGTGCAGCTCTGGGGATGGCCTCTCAGCACCAGGGCCCTGCTCGGCTTCCTCCTCACCCTCTTCAGCTTCTTCTGTTTCTGGCTGCTGCTGTAGCTGTACCTCATCATCTTCCTCTTCTGGCTTGTCACCCTCCCCAGCCCCTCGCCGCCTCAGAGCTTTGGCCCTGGTGGCTGGTGGGGACTTGCTACCACTGCCAGGACCTGAAAGGCTAGTGCATGCCTTTTTCATTGGCTTCATCTTCTGTCCACCTGCAAGATGGGAGAGCAGGTAAGAATCATTGCGAACAACTCAAGAACCAACCCAGGCTCAGTGTCCCCCAAGACTTTCTACTTGTTAAGTCCATGCCTCAGTTTCATGACCCCTAAGGCCCTCTCCCTGACTGTCCTCAATTCATATGGGCCCTGGCTAGCACCCAGACATAGACTGGCACCTGTGTCCCCGAGCATCCACACTTTGGCTCCTTGGGGAGCACTCACATACACCTGCTTTCTCTGCAAAGGCCATGGAACACACACGCATGCACACACTCCAGCTGCTGCAAGGGATGTGAGGAGCATTGACAGTTCACACTGTCCTGAGCCCTGTGCTCGGCTTGCTTTTAATAACTCATGTCATTTCCCAACAGCCTAAAAGGTGAGTTCTACCATCAGCCCCACTTCATATTTTATCAAACAAAGGCACAGAGAGATTAAACAACTTGACCAAGATCACCTAGCTAGGAAAGGGCTGAGCTAGGGTCTGAACCCAGGCAATCTGGCTTCAGGATCTGTGCTCCTAACCATTTCAGTGTGCCACCTGTCACATGATCCAGAGGGCATGCTTACTCTCACTGTCACTGTCCAGAGAGCATACACACTCAAATGCAAACCCATACACAAGCACTAAGCCACATAAAGGGAGGTGACTGGGCTGTGATGTGAGCCTTTCTCCCCTCCCAACCTTTCCTCCACCCCTCTGGGCAGCCAGGATTGGCCAGGCATTGTGTGGAGTGGGCAGCTACGAGTTCTGAGGGATGGGTGCCCACTCTGCACCCTGGGCCTGCCAGGTAATAGCCATCTCCCCGGATCTTGGCAGGGAGCAGGCACGGGCACATCTAGGGCAAGAGCTCATACCCACTGCTGCCAAAGGGCCGTGCATGAGCACACGCATGCGCACAAACACAGACACACACGTCATCACACAGTGGGACACAGAACTGCACCCCAGGGTTTCTCTGTCCCACTGGATGAGAGCCTGCCCCTCCCCCAGTACCCAGCATCATACCCACAAGCCCAACCCCCGCCTCTCTAGACTGGATGCATCCCCAGCCTGGCTAGCCTGGCTGTGGTAGAGTGGCTGAGTCAATCAGCACCCCTAGACCCCTAAATATGCCTTCCAACTCCAGGTGAGTTTAAGTAGGATAAGGTCAGAGAAAGCAGGACAAGCTCAACGAGCCAACCTCACCCACTTCCTGAACAGTCATTACTGCCCGCCCCCTTTCAAGCTGCCCTGAGACAAGAGAAGGGAAAAAAAAAACTTTACTCTGAAGTGACTTACAAAAACTGAGAAGCCAAAAGGGGAGCTCTACAGTGGTTGGGGTGGCCCCCTGGATCAGATGTCAAACACCATCAGAGGCACCCCTGACAGCCTTCAGATTCCCTGGGTACCCCAGACCTCCTGTTCTCCTACCTGGGGCCTGCTGCTCCTGGGGACCCTGCAGTCGCAGGCCTGCCCTTCCTATGGGTCAATCCTGGGGTCCCCACAGGCAGAGCTCAAAGGGCCAGGGACTGGTACCCAAGTACGCAGGAGTTGGAAAGCCCTACTGACCTGCTGGGCCGCTGTTCTGGGGACTGAGATCTAGCCCCCATTCTACCAAAACACAAGCCTCTGGTTACCCCACCCAGGGCCTACAACCACACTACCTGGTACCCCCAGGCCCTACTGCCTAGACCAGCCTCTTCACCCCAGAAGCCTAAGCCTCTTTCTTTTCTTTGGGGCCTATCCTCTTCCTGTCCATTTCTCTCTGAGCAACTCCTACCCAAGGTCCTGTGGGCCCTCACCTCCCTCACAATCAGAGCTGTAACTCCTAATGCCAGGCCAGCTCAGACCCTGGCTCTTTGGTCTCAAGCGCTGTGCTCCCACCAACCTTCCTGGCACCAACTTCTCTGTCATTCTCTCTCTCCCATCCTGTCACCATCTCTACCTCTCTCCCACAGGCCCTAGGCCCCCCTCCTCCCTCCTCGTAACCCCCATTTATCTGTCACTTATTCCTCCCAGTCACTCTCCTGTCTGCCATCTCTGGACCTGACACCTTCTCTCCACATCAGCTCTCCTTGTCACCCCCTCCAACTCTGTACCCACCCTCTCCCTGTCACCCTGATCTAGTCCTGTCACCCCTCCATTCCTGTTATCCGTTCTTTGCCTACCACCCCTCCCCCAGTCACCTCTTTTCTGCCACCCTCCTCCTCACCACTTCCTCCACTCTGTCTCCCCTTCCCATCATTCCGCCCATCCCTTTTCCCCCTGAACCCCTTTCCTGTCCCTGCCACCTGTCCCCCCTCAGTCCCCAGTCCCCCGCAACCCCCTGCCCATGTCAGCCCTGGCCACGCCCCTCACCTCGGGCTCAGCGGGGCTTCGGGGCGGGGGGTCGTGGCCCCGGCTCAGTCCGGTCCGGTCCCTCCCCGCCCCCCCTCCGGCTCTCCCTCTCGATTCTCCCTTTTTTTTTTTACTCCAACACACAAAATGGTGAATGGACCTGCAACAGCTGGAGCAACCAGCCAATCAGCGGCCACAACCCCGCTGACCGGCGCCGGGCTAGACCAGTAGATATCCGCAGCATAGTTGACTCCGCCTCTCAACGACGAGCGACGCTCACAGTGGCCAATCGTGCCCTTCCGGCAGCGCTAGGGGGTGGGGCCAAAATCCAAGACCAGCCTCCCTTCGGGACCGACACCAACCTAAGCCTACGACCGCCTGATCTATCTAGAGCCATGCCCTACAACAAATGATGGACACTAGCTTTGGCCAAATGTAGGCCAGTTTAGTGCTGAATGACGGATACAGTAACCAGTCACCATGCACCCCAGGCCGGAACCCAGCCTCTGTGAAGGACAGTAGCCAATGAAATGAAGGAAGGCGGGACTAATAGACGGACTCTCCAATAAGCTGGCCTAGAAGGCGTGGCCCTAGCGTTTGTTGACCGGCTAGACGCAATTCCTGCTGGGAATAGTAGTCTTCTCACGTCTCCGGCCCGTAGTCCACAGTACAAGGCAGACTACAACTCCCATGTGACAGAGTACACAGAGCACCAAAGAAACCGGGAGAGGAGAAAAAGTCAGAAACAGCAGTTTCTCCTGAGTCTCTCTGGACACCAAGAACATCTTAGACCCAGGGCCCCAACTCACCCGGATTCCCGGCTCTGGCGTCGCCGGTGGCTCCTCTCAGTGGCGGTGGTAGCAAGCACGAGAGGGAGGTGCGACAAGCAGCCAACCGCCACCCGCGAGCCCTGCAGCCAATCAGCAGCAGCTGGGGCGGTGCAATGACCTCACCGGTTCTACTCTCTTACCCCTCCCCCACGTGGTTGTTGCTGCTGGTAGCCAGAGTAGGGAAGTTTGGGGTGGGGGGATGGGAGGAGAATTAGTGATGTCATCTTTCCTCTGCTTGATTGGCTGTCGGGTGGCCAGGACTAAGACCAATCAACGTTCTCAAAAAGTCTGGCGCGGCCCCGTGGAAAGCCCTGTTGCCACCGGGAGGGGAGAGAACGCGCGCTTGTTGGGTGACGCGCGAGGCAGCGTAGGCCACGCGCGCAGCCTGGGACTTACGGAACCTAGGGATAAGTTACCTACTCCAGCACTTTTTTTTTTTTCGTACCGGGGATCGAACTCGGGTCCTTGCGCTTGCACAGCAGGCGGCGAAACCACTGAGCTAAATCCCCGGCCCACCAACACTTTTTGATATTTAGGACAGCGCAGTTTTCTGATGATCCCCCTAGGCACTGGGTGGGTGGGGGCACAATATGGGGAAATGCAGTACTTCATGGAGCATCGCATGGCATCCAGTGGAGAGCTATGCTGTGGGTAGTCACACGTGGAGGAGAGAGATTTAAGATCGTAGGGTGAGGTATCACCTTGGAGGTGAGAACAAGAGGAGGTGCTATGTCCTGTTACTAGTCGATGCCTGCTGTCCAGATATGGAGTTTACAGCAGGTATAAACTTGTCTGCAGGTATCCATACTCATCATATCAGATTTGATCCTTGACCAAGGGTAATGCGAGGCGAAGTACACTGGCCCTACGGAAGATTTATTTTCCCTGTAATGGATTCTCAGTAGTATTATCCACTTAAGACTCACACGAGTTGTAAAGAAAATGCATCTAGCCTATTGCGGGTCATACTGTCCAAGTAACATTCGCACTACTTGTGAAAGAATGTGCTATGGCATATGGCAAATTCACACAGGACATGGAAGTATTACTAGTTGTCCAGTAGGTTTCACTGAATATAGAAACTCACATTATCCATGGGAAGTTCCCACTATCTACAGAGATTGGGGAAAATTTCAGTGTCCATAGGGAGTTCATACTTAGAAGGAATTTTATACTGCTACGTTTACTGTTATTTATTCAGTTTTATATTATCATGTTATTTCTATTTTACTATTCTAAAAACTAGTTCTTATTTCTGTGTTATGTGGACCCAGAATTGAGGAAAACTTTATAGGGCAGTTTATATCATGTACATTGAATAGATGCTGAGGCTAGGGAAATTTTACACTCATCAAGAGCTTTCCAGGCTTACAGCTTATTTAGCTCAGTAGTAGAACATTTGCCTAGCATTCATGAAGCCCGGGGTTCAATTCTCAGTACTGCCATGGCAGAGGGAGGTTCACTTAGACCCTTTGGGGAGTGACTCATGGTTTCACAAAAGAGCTTCACAGCAAGTTCTCTATGCATGCAGGTTGTGAATTGTCCATGTTAACTCTCATAGATCCAAAGGAGATTATTCTCTCTGAGGGGAAGTTCCCATTGGGCAGAAGTTCACAGTGCCCATAGGAGCTTACGTTGTATTTGGGGGAGATTTCCACGGATCAGGATGGGGTTTCATGTCCCATAGCCAATTCCCATCAGGTGTGAGGGAGAATCGGAATGTGGAAAAGGCCATCTATATTCTCCATGAAAGAATTCATCCTCCTGATGAAGGGAGGGGAAGGGAAAAGGAAAAGAGGGAAAGGAAAAACTATGAGAAAAGAAAAAAAATGGAAATGAAATCTATGTAAATAGGGAAGGGTGGAGGGGTTGAAGGGCACACAGGTAATGGGGAAAAAAATAAGAACCAAGATACATCATGTACAGGTACAAACACCCAATGATAAATGTAAACAAATTGTATACCTAAAATGTACCAATAAAATGTACCAATAAAATTAATTAAAAAAAAAAGAATTCATCCTCCTGGGCTGGGGATTTAGCTCAGTGGTTTCGCCGCCTGCTGCACAAGTGCAAGGACCTGAGTTTGATCCCCGGTACCAAAAGAAAAAAAAAAGAATTCATCCTCCTAGGGAGCATTGTACTATAGTAGAAGGGGGTCTCCCCTGCAGTTCAGGATTATCTCTGGCTGGGGTCTATTTATAATGTTCACAGAGAGATCCTCACTGCTTATGCAAGTTATACCATACCTGAAGGACCCCACAAAGGGAATTCATACTGTCCAAGAGCTAGTTCCCCAGTCATGCAAGAAAGCAATATACGGGGAGCTGTACCCTGCCCCTGTTAGAATTACATAAACCAGTTCACTTAGTTACACAATTCATTAAAATTACACTGTCATGTGCCACAAGGGGTGATTCTGCAGAAGCAGGGCAGCACAGGCTTAACCAGGCTCTGTGGTACTGGGAAGGTCAATCCCTCAGTGCCTTGATTTCCACCCACCACTCCACCCCCGCTTTATTTTTGAGATAGGGTATTGCTATGCAATTCAGGCTGACCTTTAACTCACTATGTAGCCCAGGTTGGCCTTGCTCCTGCCTCAGCCTCCCAAGTGCTAGAATTATAGACGTGTGTCACCACACTGGCTCCACCACTTTTTAAAAGGGAATAATAATGTCTGGGGATATAGCTCAGTGGTGAAGCACTTGCCTAGCATGTTCAAGGTACTGGGTTCAATCCTCAGCACCACAAAAGAAATAAAATGAGTAATAAATGAAAAATTTTTAAAATAAATAAATGAAAATAAATAAAAGGACAATGAAAAAACCTGATAGCATAGGATTATTATGAAGATGTACTGAGTTAATACGTGCAAAACACTGAACGGCATAAGTATGTGCTACCTCACAGTAGAGAGTATAGATAACCATGATGTATTGGGGGGTTTTTTTTGCTTGTTTTTCTTTTTCTTTTTTTGGTTTTTTGAGACAGGGTCTTGCCATGTAGTTTAGGCTGGCCTTGAACTCACTATTTAGTCCAGACTGGGCTTGACCTCACAGAGATCCTCTGCTTCAGCCTCCTGAGTCCTAGGATTATACGCATGCGCCACCATGCCTGATACCATGACATATTATATAGTTTAAAAAAACTAGAAGAGGCCAGGTGTGGTGGTGTCTGTAATCCCAGCACTCAGGAGGCTGAGGTAGGAGGATTGCTATGAGTTCAAGGCCAGCCTGGGCTACATAGTGAGTTCAAGGCCAGCCTGAGACAGAGATCCTGTCTCAAAAAACAACAACAACAAAAAAAAAACCCTAGAAGAAAAGCAGTTTGAATCTTTTCACCATAAAGAAATGATAAATGGAAGCCATATGTGGTACCACAGGGCTGTAATCCCAGAACTTTGAGAGGCTGAGGCAGGATGATCCAAAATTCAAATTTCACTTAGGCAATTTAGTATATGTGCTACCAAAGCAAGCACTCTCCCAGGCAGTTTAGAGAGTTACTGTCTCAAAATAAATAATATAAAAGACTGGAGATGTACCTAAGTATGAAAGCCCTGGGTTCAATTCCTAGGACCACCAGCAAACCAAAACGAAACAAAAAGATAATGTATGGTAAATGTTTAAGAGGACAGTGTTTAACCTGATTTGTATATCACTCAATGTGTACATGTATCAAAATATCACATGGTACCCCATATATATGTACCATGTTTATCAGTTAAAATAAATTTTAAGTGGGGTATAATAGCACACATCTGAAATCTCAGCTACTCTGAAGATTAGGCAAAAAGATTAAAAGTTTAAAAAAAAATTCAAGCCCAGCCTGAGGCAGTTTAGGAGACCCTGTTTCAAAAAAAAAAAGGTTGGAGACAGCTCAGTGGTAGAACATAGAACACTTGCTAAGCACAAATTGAGTCCTCACTAGGTTCAATCCCCAAATCCCCAGCACCAAAAAATAAATACATACATCCATAAATTTCTTTTTAAAAAACTTTATTTCAATGTAATACAAGTATATATTTTGTTTGTTTGTTTGTTTGTTTGTTGGTGTTTTGTTTTGTTTTTTGATACCGAGGATCAAACTCAGGTCCTTGCACTTGCGGGGCAGGCAGAGGAACCACTGAGCTAAATCCCTGGCCCTACAAGTATGTATTAATAAAGGAGATTTGAAGATTTTTTTTTTTTTTGGTACGGGGGATCAAACTCGGGTCCTTGTACTTGCAAAGCAGGCAGCGGAACCACTGAGCTACATCCCCGGCCCCAAAGAAGATATTTTTAAAAAACAGTCATTGGGGCCGGGGATGTAGCTCAGTGGTTCTG